TCAGAGCCCTAGGTATTGGTAAGAATATCTTTTAATTTGGGTCAATGTTTTGATAGCCAGATACGATTATATCTATTGGATAGCCTCAAAGGGAAAAGTGCTCAGAAAGAAAGAGGAAGCTAATGTAAGAATGTTACCAAGTGAGAGAAGCACGAAGAAAATACATAGGACAAAGAGAAAGAGAGAGAGAGAGAGAGAGAGAGAGAGAGAGAGAGAGAGAGAGAAAGGAAAAGCTTGTTGAGTTAATATTATTATCGATATCAAATTTAGCATGTTTAGACTATGCCCTTCAATGAACTAAACGGGATTATTCTCATCACACAGATTAACAAATTATGAGCCATTGTATAGACTTTTGATCAATTATTGAGGAAAACATTTAAATACAATTTCACACATTATAACCGTGAATACATTGTGCATGCTTGGTTTTATTTTTATTTCGGGATTAATATTCCACGAATGAAACGGCTACTTAAATATAGCTGTGCAGAGAATTGTTATTATTAATGTGTACATGTACGTAAGCAGTGAGGGTTTATTCTGGGTACGACAAGATAACATCCATTTGATTTGGAGTCCTGTCTAGACATGAATACGTGAATAGTTTTCAATATCTTGATTATATATGAAGCGAATGATGTTTGAGTTTTCAAAACTATAAATTCCTTAAGCCCAACTCCTCATTTACGGTAACAACAAGTGCATATTATCATCTTAACACTGGCAACAATATTGAAGCATATGCATCGAACGGCAAAATAGGAATATAATGGTGATAAATAACACTACATTAGGAATACTAAAAATCTTGTTCAGTAGCAGGATATCAAATAGGTCTATACAAAATATGAAAAGCAAAAATAAACAGGTTTATGGAGAATTAGAAATGTATGAAAATAAAATAAGTAAATAAATACAAAATTGCATCAAAAGACGGGTAAGGATTACAAAAAACTAAACAAAGGACTTACATCCGAAGAAGGATATTTTCAAATGATTAGATTAATGCTTTGCAAGTGATTTTTTTTTAGAGCATTACTATTGGATTCTTTGAGACAAATGCAGCAGAATCATTTCTTTCTGTTCGTAAACAAGTACCCAATGGTAGTGTGTGGTTAATAATTCAATCTCTTGGCAACATCCCATTCTATCTTTAGCTTTTGACAGAAATTTCAAAACAAACGCTTGTTATAGAATCAGGACCTACGGCTTTAAATACAGTGTTTTCTTTTAAATATAAATATAGGATCCACGTTTAACTGTTTAGAAAGAGTTCTAGCAATCAGTTTACACGCCGCAAGCCTAGACGAATATTCCCTTACCCTCGTTCTCGACTGCATTAAATTTAGCCGACATTCATGACAATTTGAATCGTCCTTGCTCAGCCGAAAAATCACAACCGTAGGCGGTCGTATTAAGTGAATTTTAAAAGTCCTCTTCTTTTTTTCCAAGAATTGGTTTGCTCTTGGGTGAATATGCAACAGTTGATTACGATTCCAGCAAATATCTTGACTCTACATGCCCCACGAGCACATGGAAGCAAGCAGGCAACGATCATTTGGCTTACTGTCAGCCACTTTTTAGACAGGTACATTATGAATCAGATGACCAAACGATAAAGAACGGGAAAAAGTTAAAGTAAAGAGGGACATTAACTTGGAACTCTTTTCTGAAACGTCCGTCACACCGATGAGACTGAAATTAGAAGTTACATACCTCAAATGGTTAAAGATTGATCGATTTGGAGTCGGTTTGGTGGTGTGACGGAGGTATCACCTATACTTCATTGACTAGCAATAGCATCCCAAAAAGCCTCCGCATAATTCATGCTCAGTTCTAATATTGGAGGGCTTTAAACTGTTACGATGTAGCAGAGTAACTTTCTTTTAAAAAACCCACACAAATAGGTATGGGACAGGCACAACTGTCAGAGGACACACATTATTCAAGATATTCATGTTGCCGTTTACTCTTGAGCATTATTCTTTGATAATACACAATTATTGGTCCTGTTCATTCAAAACAATATCATGACGACTCTTTATCCTCTCGATTTTGCTGCTTTGTTTGTGATAATTTTTTGTTTGTTAATGATCGTTGATGAAAGTAAATATGAGTGGCATGCTGGATGACAGGTAAATAAAGGGAAGGGTGAAATGACTATTAACATGCTGACCAATGAAAACTAACCTACTTGTGAAGACAGAGAGGAGAAGAGAAATAGAGAGATGACAGGAAGACCGACGTATAAACAAAGAAAGAAATGTGAGAATGTTTGAAAGAAACGAACGTGCAATACATGGTGGTACATGTAGTAGTAGTAGTAGAAGAGAAGGAACATAATTATCATCCATTGATGAAAAACGGGGGGGGGGGGGGGGGGGGGGGGAGGGGGTGAGTAGGGGAGGAGGGAGGAAAATAGAATGACAACAATGACGTCGTCTTAACTGTCTTATCCATCAAAACTTGCTTGTCTGCTAAAACATTTCATGGACTCTACTTTGCTCTTGTCAACTTCACGGAGAGAAGTAGGAAAAAAGCAATATTACTAATCTTTCAATCCAATTCTATTCTTCTACATTTACCATTATGTATTACTACCCTCGTATTTCGTTGCATACTTCATGAGCTGTATCCCTAGGACTCTCTTCTTTGTTCAGCTCACATCACGTGACCTTGCTGGTAGCGTTGCGTTCACGTGCAAATGATTGATGCTCGAGTTTATCCAGGGATGATGCCTTAAAGATTCATTTCAAGGGATTGCTTTTCTTTGAAGAAGCAATACACACACGGAGCTTCGAATAATAAACGATACTGCAATTAATAAAGGCTTAGTTCGGAGATACACCGCCAAGATGGAACATACATGTTCGTACTGTAACCAAGTAAGATACATCAAAAGGCAGTGTGGTACACTGACGACGGATTATAAATTCTTTTAGAATGTAGCGAAATTTACAGCGAGCTTTAAATGATACATAAATGTTAATGGAATCGGTAAACAACAATCTGACAAAAGCTGCATTTACACTGCCAGCAAAATTTGTCGATTTTCTCATATCCCGGTGTTTCGTTGGTAGCTGCATAGCATTGTTGGCTTTAATCAATTCCCCACCAATCTTTCCCTTTAAAGTCATTCTTCGTCATTTTTCCAATGATTACTAGCATATTCAAAAGTATACACTCATACATATCAATAATACCGCCTTCATCTCAACTACATTAGTCTGAATTGCTGTATCTCCCAGCTTCATCATTAACTTCTGGCATACAACACGCAAAAATGCATTTCAGTATCCCTGGATATGTACATTAGAGAAAGATAATATCATTTTCCTTTCTGCTTAAATGAATTTTGTGTAATACCTAATCGCAACTACCACTTTTTCTCCCTTCACATCCCTTGACAATTAACTCGCCCATGTTCTTTACTCATCATCTAATAACTCTCCCTTCTTGTACCATCTTTGGTATACCTAAATTTCCTACTCAAAATCTATCTCTTATCTCTCTGTACCGCCTTCTTCATATCTATCCTTCTCTTTCATCGATCCCCAGAGACATTCATCTCTTAGGAAACGCGACTCAGAGAAAACACAGTTTTGTGTGGCATTGTTTGCAATGGCTTGCCCCCTATGGTCTTGCACCTTCTTTTATTCTGTTTGCGCAGGGTAATGGCGGCCATATCAGATTACAGGTGAACGGTGGCCTGAACTTTTCTTTGCTCGTCTCTCGAAGATATGAACATACCGGATCTACATCTAACAATTTTAAGTGTTGTGTCATACCGAGCTACGCCGGTGTACTATTGTCACAAAATATGTTATGCAGCTAAATCCGACAATATTGGCTTGTGGAGGAGGCCTACATGGAATAAATGGAGCTTATGATCCCGCGTAAGGTGGAAAGGACATATATCGACTGAGAGTAAAGAAAGGAAGAATAATCCCCACAAATGGTCATTGACAAGAGATATCATGAATGGCATGAAAACATGCATAGTTTCAAGAACGACAGTTGAAATAAAAGGAGCCTTAGGATAGAGTGTGCGAATGAGTTAATGTGTCAGAGAGAGACATTTAGATAAGGATCTACACTGGGTGGGTAGACAAAGAGTTTGGGTGACAGAGAGAGAGAGATATAGAGATTGAGATGCGAAAGTGAGAGAGACCAAAAAACAAAAACAAGAGGAAGATAACAGGGAGAGAGAGAGAGAGAGAGAGAGGGAGGGGAGGGAGTTATGTACATTAAATAAAATATATATTTGCCAACATTTACACACTTCTACTCCTTCCATTACTCCTAGCAAACCATCATTAATTTTGAAATGTGATAACGAGTGCGCAATCATGTGACATTGAAGCTTTACGGTTCCGGAGGGAGAGAAAATAAAGATGACCCGATAATAATACACCATCCTCGGGCATCCGGCTAGGGAGATGCCATGAAATGTTAAAGGTTCACCCTAACAACTCGCTAAAACCCTGGCATCTGTATCAATATCGCTAACCCTTGTCTTCTTCACCCGCGTTTCGAGAAGGGCTCGTAATCAACGAGATTTTACTCCGCCAATATTTCAGTTTCCTGCTTCGGCTGTATGCACCTGCTTTGGCACGAACGTGTGAGTTATGTATTTATGAAGCTATACCTTCCTCGTCTGTATCCCATGGCTCGGTATTGTTTAACTTGGTTTAACAAACCGTGTATAATGAAAAGTAATAAACCATCTACGCCACCACTACCATGATTACACATGAATACGTTGTGCCAAATATCTTATTTTTCTTCTTTAACGATATACATGACGCCCTCCATTTTCGTCTGCTTTCGTCGACCTCCCTCTCCCTCTCTTACTCTTTCTTCAACTCCCCCTCTCTCTTTACATATTCGATTGAATCCTAATTGTATTAACGGAATCCGCAACCGCCACATTTGACGACATCGAAGCCTTCTTCTATACTATAGATTTAAAGCAAAATAAATAAATGAGGGCTTACTTGAAGGGGTACAATTCATCTCCACTTCGTGTACGCCGCTGGTAAAATCCGTAAAATAGTCCATGCCTGGACTTGATGTCTCAGCAAGCAAACGTCGTCGTAACTGACCGAGTTCTCCACCACCGGCTCCGACATCGTCGTAGATCTTGTGCTCATTGTTGGCTGCGAAGTCCGCTCCAGCATGATGCCTCTGACCACCAACTGTAATGAAGAATAAGGTAGGAATCATGGGTGAGTTTTACAAATATTTTGTTAATAAGTGTCATCTCTGGTTAACTTCTTAAGCAATTGACCAATCATAGTTATGGCTGACAATATGCTTGTGTACAACGTACAAGACCAAGAGTGCCGAATTTCTAATCTCCAACATTAAAGGCTCCAACTTTGAAAAAACACTCATCGCTTTTATACACATATCCTCTTTATGAATACTTAAGGTTTCTGATAAAGGACCCAATCTTTTCTGAAATTTAGCCTTATTTTTATATTTAGTCTTATTGCAGTTCCTACTACATTCATATTATCAGAAAATCCATTCAAATCCCATCAATAATTTATGATTATGGAAATATATCTAATAGTATCCATTATGATAGCGATTTTGTTCTTTCCCTATGTCTTATAAAGAAAGACGAATCAAGTCTCCTAAACAAGAATTAGAATTCCCAAAAATTAAAATATACATGTACATATAAGAATATAGTCCTGCGGCGGTTGTCAAAAATAGACAAGTTAGTGAAGAAGAAATGGTAAAACAACCGTAGGAGATACAAAAATCATTAGCATCTACTAGAATCACATATAGAACAGAGTTAAGTTAAAAATAGATAGACATAGAGGAAATAAACACTTGAGACGAAAAAATAAAACTCTAAAAATATCTTAGGAATGTTTTTCCCGACATATCACTTCTATCTATCTTTTTCTGGACAAACTGGTAGGTTATGAATGTTACGTCAATGCCCATGGCTACAAGTAACGGACACCTAAAATGAGACTGCTTTTACATAAATTACCAGCTAATTTTTGGGACTGGATTGTCAAATGCAAATGAAATTGTTGTCTCCTCAGATTCAAGGGCAAAACAAAAAATGCTTTCTGTTGTCCGTTGGCTACTTCTCCGATAAAAGAGAGCAACATTTCTGAAAAATTGCGCGATGCAGGTGCACAAACGCGCTACATGAGCAAAGCATTAGTTATTCCCCTGTTTTCAGCAACTCAAGGCAGGGAAAATCGAAGTAGTCAATCGATATCAGGCCAATCTCCTTCCATTAAATGTTTTCCACTGTGTCGCGTTCTCGAGGCTGAACGGACGGCAGTGCAGTCATGCTGAAAACATGAGCTCAGGAAAAGGAAAGGTCCAACCAAGGGTATTTACACGTGATTTGCGGGTAGCTTGGTCCTTCAAACGGGGGCAAGTTCGGTGAAAAGGAAAGGTAGCTTATCCATTTGACATTGACGGAACTTGTCTGTCATAGCATGACATGTCAGAATCCTCAGTTTGTAATTGAATATATTTTCACCATGAGTCGACAATATTTAATTTACCTGGTTAAAAGAGGATATTAACCTAAAAGTTATGTCTAATCAGTGGAACAAATATAATGGTAAAAGCTGCAATGTCCCTACGCGAATAGAGTAAGAAGTACACGATACCACATTGGAAAGCTAATTTCATGTCCTAGATCTGGGAATTATCTAGGTCGATCTCCCACCTGATGAATTATTGATTGAAGGAAATATAGATTAGTATTCACATTGGGACCTTCAACTCAAATATCTTTACGGTGTTTCCTGCCCATGCGAATAACCTGAACGCGTCGAGGACACACCTCTTCCCTGGGACGCTACATGGTATTGCAGAGGTGACAATAAAACAGTGCGCTAGGTATTTAAATTTTCATCCATTTCTCTCACTTCAGTTGAAATACGACCTTCTCACTTGTAAAGTTGTCGGCCCTAATATACGGCAAGAACATACCTGTAGACTATGCTTTATCCCTTTAAAAAGTTACCGAGTTTTTGACTGATGAGTAGGAGTGCCTTGGAATGTATTCTCTCCGATTACGGGTTTGAGTAAGGGTAGAGAGGGGGGGGGGAGAGAGAGAGAAGGAGAAAGAGTTTGAGATGGTAGGAAAAGAAGAAGAAGAAGAAGAGCGAGAGAGAGAGAAAGAGAACACTTCAAACTATTCAATTCCAACTTAGTAGTATCCTGAGAATCACTGCAGAGACATGGTCAGGGTGTGTTTCCAGGAACACTGCATTAAGCGCGCCAAAACCCCTCATATTCCATGGCGTGAAGCATAAATTATACACACAAGACATTTAGTTAAGTGAAATACTAAGAAACTAAGATTGATCGGCGTTTAACACAGTAACTGTATAGGTGATAACAATGTGATGTACTTCTGTGATTCGAATTACGCGTTTTCATTGATCACTACTCAAAATCAGAATTAAGGGAGTGGGAGTCTAGGGAACACATTCAGCCTCTGCCCCCTTTTAACCAATGAAGCAAACTTAAATACACAAAAGTAATATGTGTCCCTTCTCAAAATTCCCCCCAAAAGGCACATAATAATTGAAATAGCCTTTTTCTTCCTGTAAAGTTTCTTCTTCAAAATATTATTGTACCCTTCTCTTCTTACAAAACCCGGACCCGCCCCTCCGTTAATGAGGACAGATGCATTGTGGTAGAGCCTGGCTAAAGAAATAAAATCATGCATGTATTATGAGTATTTCGTAGAATGTAACACTATATTTCCGCCGGCAATCCGTGATATTAATCAAACGACCATAAAAACCCACCGCAGGAGGCCTCTTCATAACCTTCTGCCTACTGGTTCATGCAGCGTGTCATATTGTCTTTGTTTTCCTTGATCATTTTTTTTGTGTTCGACGGGAGAGGCCACATGGTCATACAACAATCACTTTAGTAAATTATATGCATCACAGTCACAGTAGGGGGTAACGACCTATGACTTGAAGCATATCATGCATGAAATGTAGTGTGACATCATACCACAGGAGCAAAGGGAAGGGAAAACGAGGGTTTCCCCCTTATTTTCACTTTTTGTTTTGTATTCTTATATAAAATCTAAAATCACAGGGGATTAGAAAGACAAGAAGTTATTTAGTTTTAAGCACTAGATATAATATTTCGCCTTAAGACGAAACCCGTCCTTAAGGCGTATTGAGTTGGCTTTCTGAATAGCTTCTTCAAAGGACTGTCTACCCAAGATGTGAAACTAGTCAAATCTGCATTTAAAAAACAAAACAAACTTCTTATTCATTGCGAGATCTTGTTCCTCCGGCTTAATTTAGTGCACAGGAAATAGTGCCACCTAATTGTGGCTAACATGTTAGACCCACAAAAGGATCTGAAAAAAATGTGATAACATTTCTCATTTGAGATTTCGAAGAGCATGTAGAGAACGTGAGAACCTTTTATTTATTTTTCATTTGCCTGCAAGTTTGTCCAAATTTATCATACTTATTTAGGCGTACCTACAACAGGGTTTTGAGGAGCGACTGGTCGTTTCTTGAGCTAAATCTGATAAATAGAAAGGACTACTTATGCACTCAGGAGAGACATATTCTCGATTATTCATACTTCTAAGAAGATGACACGAACAAAATTACATCCTTTCAAAATGTAGGATAGGAACGTCTAAAATCATCAAGCACGCTGTTTCACTAAAAAACATGTTACGGCACCATTGCTATTCATCAATCTTTACACCACAAAAAAAAAAAAACACGAAACAAGCATCCAATGAAGTTTTTTATGGAACCTTACTAACGTTGATATAATCGTTTGAAACTCGAAGGTCTTTGAATGCAGTATCATTATCTAGACCTATAGGTATACACAATTGAAGTGGAAGGCCCCATCCTATCTCTTAACCCCCTTCCATTACCTCCCTATCGACTAGGACACCCTTCATGATTGATGTGTATGTCAGACCTTGTCAGGAAGTGAAATGCCGAGAGTATAGGAGCGAGTTTAGAGTCACCGATCTGCTCAGCAAGATATCAATTTATTCAGAGTTAAATGGGCCAGCATTCTACAACAACACACAAGACGAGAAACATACAGAATGGATCTTATACTAATACTCTTGATACATACAGCTTCTTCACCATAATTCGGCCGACAATTCCGTCCTACTCTATCAACTAAAATGATTAAACTAGATCTGGTAAACATTTACCATCTTATTTTATCTATTCTTATACTCCATGTTATGTATTCTTACTACTCATCTTTTATGTCGTCTTTATGGTCAATAGACTTCAAGTTGGCACATTTATTGAAAACAAACTTTACAACATGACTTACTTTCAGTATGACTTACATCACAAGATTATTTAAATAGACTTTTAAAACACCTTTCGTAAACTGGCGCTGATACTTAAATCTTCGTCACACTTTGCCACAGCATATTTCAATTATTCGAATAATCTACACAAAATAGCGTAAATCACTCTCGACCTCCAATTACCACGCGACATCCGATTCCGTGTCGTTCGATCGGACATGTCAGCGAGCTCGGTAGTATGCCATCGGCTCTAACTGACTTCCCCATTGATCGCAAGGTTTCCGCCATTTTGGGTCTTAAAGATGCCTTCAGACACCAATCAACATGTCGAACCCTACACGGGACAAAAACTGTCGGAGACGGGTCAGTCGGAATGCCTTCCAAGAACAGTGAACTTATGTCAGAGTATAAGACATTGAAATGAACAAACAGCGATCAATCGCGCCGCCATTTTGTTTTTTTTTATATGTCAACGGACACTAATCAACCATTTGCTTGTTTCCGCTCCTAGGACTATAGGTCAGTTAGACCTGCGGTGAAATGTATATTCATGATTTCACGCTGCACTCACAGGGGTATTTTCCAAGGATGAAAACAAGAACCTTTTAATTGCAGATGACTGATCCAAACAGTTCATTGCAAGAGGGCATCTAACAAAGACTATACAGTCAGAAGCCATGTATTCATGGTTGCAAGACAAAGTTTGACATTTAAAAGTTATCAAGCATTTCTTCATTCACTTTCTTTGATGAATGAATAATATGCACGAATACTTTAATTGTGGAAAGTCCATTATGTATCGGCGGGTACAATTATGTATTAATTTATTTCAAACAAATTTTTGTTGGATCGACTGCTGACTTTATGATCCACCAG